AAGATGTTGTGTTAGGACAAGTGTGGACATATGGTGGCCCCAGTCTATGAATAGCATGGGCATGTTTGATGTGACTGAGTAACACCTTTCTCTAGGACAGAAGGGAATCAATTTTTTAAAGATCATTGGTTCTTGTTCTTGTGCTCAGATATCTGGGATTTTGTTGGGAAACTGCTCCTGTGCATCAGGTGCTTACTTGAGGCACTCTATGAAATTTCTGCTTCCATTTGGGCACCTCCTTCCCCATTCCAGGCCAGTGTAACGCCCCGAGTTATTCCTCATGTCCAAGAGAGCAGCACACACCGACCCTGCAGCTCAGTGAAAATTACCCTTCATGACCTGCACCACTGTGCTCTGAGCTTTTTTCCTCCTGTTTCTTAATAATTAGAGAATCACAGAATCCTTTAGGTTGGAAAAGACCTCCACAACCGCGTCCCATTTGGGAGGAGGTAAAGAAGATTTGGCTCATGCTAAATTTATCTTATCATAGGAATAGATTCAGTGCTGATTTCCCCTCCTGGCTGTATCTATAAATAAAAGCACCACAGGCTTTTCCAGGCTCGGGGCCAAGTGCCAGCACAGAATGGCCATGTCCCTGAGGCCAGGGTCTCATCCTGTCTCTGATGGTGGAGGCTGAAGGATCCAGCAGAAGGCTACAGCAACTGGCAAAGTCGAGCAGGACTGTGAGCTCCTCTGCCTTGGGAATCACAGGGGCATTGAATGTCAAGTTTTGGGAGGTGCTGCTGTTGTTTGGACCAAGACTCCCCCCAGCAAAGCCACTATTGCAGCATCTAAAGAGAGAATTAACAGAGTTGTGCTGCATCTCAGCAGTGGTTTTCATCCTACACCTTCATGTAGGGGTTTGTGTACACTACAGCCTTCTTGCTTCAGCTTTTGGGCTGCTTCCCCATGGATAATGTGGGAGATCTTGCTGGAATTTCATCCTCTAAGGTCTCCTGTCACTTCTCATGGCTGAGCTACCACAGAACACTGAGGCTGCTTTCCTTGCCTTTCCTCTGGTTTGGGATATCCAAAAGTAGGTCTTCATTAGTGAATGAAGGCATCCAGCACATGAATATTTCCAGTGCTCAAGAGGATTTGTTGCTGGAAATTTTTGGTACAAATATCAGATTATGTAGGTTCTGGCCTGGCTATGATAGCCTGAAGGTGTTTGGTGAATTAGGTAAGGGAACTTCTTTTCCTTTCTGTTCTTCACAGGAGACATTTTGTACACAGCCCTGCCTTCCAACTTTGCCATAAAAATTTGCAAAGACTTGGCCATCGTAGACATGGGGTAAAATCAGCCCAGAGAGGAAAATTTCCTACCTGAGATTGGCACCAGCAATAACTAACACCACTGAAGGCATCATCACCACTGCCTGTGTTCAAAAAACATGGTGCCCATGCTTGAACTTCTTCTAATATTGATTTAATTGCTTCTGCTTGAGTTGCTCCCACATTTTGTTTATTCGAGGCTAAGATAGCGTAATGGCAATTTTATTTTTAGTTTGTTTATGCAGTTTTATTGCATTTTATGTTCTCATTCAGCCTACAGTAATTGCTTTAGTGTCCATGGTGACTAAACATGCTGGCACAATTACAAAAAGACCTTGGGCTGGCAGCAGTTTCCTTGCTGTGTGATCAGTTGCTCCTTCCCATTAAGGGCATATTCACCTACAAGTCATACATTCAATCATGGATGGTTTGTTTCCATCATTTGTAGTCTTTGAAGTTCTCTACAAGCTTAAAATATTGATGGTTTGGGTTGGGGATTTTTTTAGGTAACTTCATTGAAGTGCCCACTAAACTTATTTTCAGTGTGTAGTATCTGTAAAATACTAGACATGCTCTTCAGAGTTGTCTGCTTCCATCACATCAAAGAGTAACCAGTTTTCAGACAGGAATTCTGGATTTATTCCTTGGGGAACAGAGTTATGTGAAGATACTCCACCATCACTATGAGACCAAAAGGGGCAGTGCTGGTCCCTTTGCCTTTTGACACACCCCATTCATTTTCTTTCCCAAGGAAAATGTACATTTCTCTCACATTGGCCAGGACATCTTGCTAATTTATTCTCAGTTGAAATGTTAAAATAAAAAATGCACTTGTCACATTTTATGTCACAGCACAAATGTGGATTTCCTTGTTGGTTTATCTTTTATTGCCCAAAAGGACTTTGATCTCATGAACTGAAAATGATAAGCATGTTATATAATTTGTGGGTTGCTCTCAGAGCCTTATTCCAGTCCTTTGCCTTGTTCTTGGCGAAGCATTTGTCAGGATAGTAACTAAGCTGTGATATGGCAAATGAAATGATTCTTTGCAAGTAGTCTATATGAGAAACAACCATCTGGTTTTGCCTTGAGGTGGATATTTGTCCTGCAGTGCTCATGGCTCTCTCCAGAGCTCTGGTTTTCACTTTGGTCAGCTGGGCGATGCTCCTCTGTGTCAATGCACAAAGTGAGTATTGTTGTGTTTATAAATGCCTGCTTTTATTGAAATGGAACAAAATTAAATTTATTAAATTCATACGAATCACAAACCTAGAAGTTTCAAATGCTTTGATTTATTGGTAAGATAATATCTGAACAAGTAATCTTGGTGCCCTTGGAAGTGTTGTGTGGGCTTTCAGGGGCTGAGTGATGGACAGGTGAAAACCATGCTCTTGTATATGCAAGATTTTTTATATGTTTTCTTTAATGTTGGGTCTTTGATTATTTTACATCTGCTGCAGTCTATAAATTAAATACCTAGGCTGAAGCTGAGTCTGAGGATGGATAATTTTAAAGTTGGAATCAGTTGAGTTCCTTGCTGCTGCTGCTCAGCTTAATTAGATTGGAGCAGTTACTATTGTTGCTTCTGCTATTCACAGCGATAAGTACTTCACTAAAAGTTCTGTTTGATATACTGAGGCTTCCAGAAAGTGAAAACTGCCATTTTTTTATCTTTTTCACTGGTCCAGAACCTAGGCTTTATCATACTCAGAGATGGAGGTGATGAATTAAACCTGTAACCAGAAGCTGCTGACTAGAAATAGTCATTAGGATTCTATTCAGTGACTTGTGTAGAAATCTGCTCACTGGTCACTTAGAAGTGAGATCATAAAATGTGATGCAGGCATGAAGGCATCTACCTAGGCAGGGAAAAATAGCCCACTACTTGTTTATACCAAATGTCCCCTTGAATATCCATAAGGATGGCAAGGATAGGGAGTGGGGACATTCTTAGCATTGGTGCAAACCCACATGAGACCACAAGAGTTGCTCAGGTAGCCATAAGAGCATGGATTACACTCTGCAAACTTTGCTGCTGAATTCTAGTCAGGGAAGGGTGAAAAGTTTTAGTAGACTTCTGGATTTTTGTGTGTATAGCCACTTCTCATGAAAAAGAAAATATTCCCATAGGGCTCCTTCTCTAAAAGTTTAAGGAGAGTAAATTTCAGGTAAATGTGCCTGTGCCTTCACCCTAAGCTCTGGACTGTTGTTGTTTGTGTGGGGAACAGCTTTGTGTTTATGGTTGTCCTGGGAGCAGAAAGCAATCTCAGGGCCAAGGTACAGGAGTAGTTTCGGTGATGGCAACCACAAGCAGTTCATCAGGACACTACAGAGCAGTGAGTCACTGCTGCCAGGCAGTAAAACCCTAGATTGGCTCCAGCACACCAATGTTTGCCTGCTTCCTGTCATGTATTGCTTTAAACCATTCAAAGTGCCACCATGATAAATGTCTTGGAGCTTAATTAACCCCCGTGTGCATCTGGGTTTACATAGTGCCAGCTTATTTACCTTCTGCTATTTCTGGACACAGTGCCTCTTGTGTTCTTTGTACATGACATTTCTGTTTCTTTTTAGAAATCACAACTATCAGCTGTGATGTACCACCCACACCACTGGTGATCTCAAGCTTTTTGGATAACTATACAGGTAAAATCAGGATTCTAACCTAGAATTGTTTGATCTCCCAAGTGCACTTGATTGCCTCACATAGTCTGTGTATTTTATGATGAATCTGTATTATTAATTGATTTACAACAGTCTTCATGGCTGGATGCAGCAACTGCCTCCATGAAATACTACTTAGTGGAATAAATAAATATAACCCTCTCTAATTCCCTGAGCCAAGGATTTCATTGCCTGAATAGACACATCAGGCAATGGGAAAGAAAACAAGTACAGAAAGTGTTCTTGTTTCACCTTGTCCAGCCAGCATTTGATGTCCCTAACGGATATCCAGAAATTTTACA